CCAGCAGGGGACTAGCTGGGTCAAATGGGACTTCCAGTCCTAGTTCTTTGAGGTATCTCTACACTGATTTCCACAGTGGTTGCACCAGTCTGCACTCCCACCAGCAGTGGAGCAGTGTTCCTCTTTCCCCACAGCCCCACCAGCATTTGTTATTGGTTGATTTCATGATAGCAGCCATTTCCAGAGTGAAGTGGAATCTCAGTGTTGTTTTCATTTGCGTCTCTCAAATGACCAGTGATGTTGAACATTTTTTCATGTATTTATTTGCTATTTCTACTTCTTTGTCTGAGAAATGTCTGTTCATTTCAGATGCCCATTTTTGGTTTGGGTCTTTAAATTTGGGAGATCTGATTTTTTTAAGTTCCTTATAGATTCGAGATAGTAGACCTTTGTCTGAGGAAGAGCAGGTGAAGATTTTTTCCCACATTGTGGGTTGTCTCTTCACACTGTTGGTGGTTTCTCTTGCTATGCAGAAGCTTTTTAATATGAAGAGATCCCACTTGTTGATTGTTTGTGCTGGTTCACGGGCAGCTGAGAATTTTGTTCATAAAATCTTTTCCTACACCAGTGTCTTCAAGAGTTCTACCTAACCTCTGTTCCAGCCGGTTCAGCGTTTCTATTTTAATATTTAGATCTTTAATCCATTTTGATTTTAGTTTAATGCATGGTGAGAGATATAGGTCTAGTTTTAATCTTTGGCAAGTGGAAAGCCAATTTTTCCAGCACCATTTATTAAAGAGGTTGTCTTTCCTCTAGTGAGAGTGTTTGGCTCCTTTGTTGAAGATGAGGTGGCTGAGTGTGCTGGAGTTGTTTCTGCATCTTCTAATCTGTTCCACTGGTCCTCAGGTCTGTTTCTTTGCCAGTACCATGCTGTTTTTATCACAATAACTTTGTAGTATAGTTTCAAGTTGGGGATTATGATACCCCCTGCCATGTCTCTGTTGCCATGTCTCTGTTGCTTTTGCTATTCTGGGTCTCTTCTTGTTCCAAATGAATTTTTGGATTGGTTTCTCAAGGTCCATGAAGTATGCTGCTGAGATTTCAATTAGGATTGGATTGAATCTATATAGCAGTTTTGGAAGTAAGGCCATTTTCACTATGTTGATTCTTCTTATCCAGGAGCAAGGGATGGCTTTCCATTTTCTGATACCATCTTCAGTCTCTCTTTTCAGAGTATATAGTTTTCAGAGAAGAGGTCTTTGATTTCTTTTGTTAGGTTGATTCCTAGGTATTTTGGTTTTTTGGATGCTATTGTGAAAGGAATTGTTTGCCCTGTTTCTATCTCAGTGAGTCTGTTGTTCATGTAGAGGAAAGCTATTGATTCTTGTGTGTTGACCTTGTATCCAGCTACTTACTGAATTTGGTTATTAACTCTAGAAGAGTTTTGGTGGAGTTCTTGGGGTCTTCTATATAGAGTATCATGTCATCTGCAAATAATGACAATTTGACTTCTTCAATTCCTATCTTTATTCCTTTTATTTCTTTCTCTTGTCTAATTGCTGTGGCTAATATTTCCATCAAATTTTAATTTTAAAATCAAAACAGTTGGCTGGGCATGGTGGTACACGCCTGTGATCCCGGCACTCGGGAGGCTGACACAGGAGGGTGGGTGTGAGTTCAAGCCCAGCCTGGGCTACATAGCAAGTTCTGAACTGCATAACAAGACTCTGACAAAAAAAAAAAAAGAAAAAGAATGAAATTTGAAAAAGTGAAAACATAAAAGGAGCTTGTGAATATTGGTTTGATTTTGGAGTCCATGTAGGGACATTTTATTAATGGTAGTGCATTAAAAGAAAAATTAAATATCTCTGCTGCAGTTTGGCCATAGAGCAAATAAAAAGGCAAATGATGAGCTGGGGAAAGACCAGTTCCTATATAGGATGACAAGGTGCTGTTCTTAGTCTCTGAAGACTTCATGTACTAATGTCAATAAACCACTAGATCCCTGTGCAGCGTAGAGATACAGCAAAGACTCCAGCCCTGCCCTCTGTTTCTGGCGTCTCTCTGATCAAAGATCCGGGGCCCTCCGAGAAGTGACCAATTCTAGGATGGAGGAAGAAAAGATACAGGACAGTCCTGGAGCATCTTAGAGAGTAAGAAAGAAAGCGCTCAACAAAAAACACAGCAGGTGTGTGTGAGAAGGAGCCAGGAGCCGACAGAAAGAGCCCCAAAGATCAAGGCGGAAAAATCTGAGCTTTAACAAACTCATTAATAGGTTGCACATTATAATTTGAAGCATATGAGCCCATACTGGTATAAATAAATGATCAAGTAAAGTAATAAGCGAGGAAGACGAGAGAAATCTTCTGTGCAGCAGAATTACAAACATGTACACTAGCACATAGCGAGGGGCTGGCCACGGAACCCAGGCCCTCACATGCAAAGCGGACACTCACCACTGAGCTACCCCAGCCCAGGACTCCACATAACTTGAAGACAACTTGTTTTCTTACAACAGAAAGAAGCTGTGCCCATTTTGGTGAGAATACCCAGCATTGGTGGGGTGCGGGGAGAGGCACCTCATATCCCCGGTGGGATATGAGCAAAGCAAGCAGGTAAATCTATCCAGAATCAATGATGGCCTTGCTTTTAGACTGGAATTCTCTACTAAACCCAGAAAGCCAGGACACAGATTTCGGAGTGAGATTCTCACTTCAGCCTTGTTACAGCGGTGAGTTTTAGCAGCAGCCTGAGAAATGAGCCGCAGCCAGAGAATGGAGAACCAGTCATCGCTGTGGGGAGTGGACACCGTGGTTGCCCACGGATGCCGGGAGACCAGCCTTTTCCTGGTCCAGGGTTCAAGTTGACCTTCAGCAGATAGACCACCTGCGAGTCAGGCACAAGTAGCCGCTTCTTACACCTCCAGCATCAGCTGCTCCAGGTGTTACCCCGGAAACCAGGGTGTTTGGGAACTTCCTGCCTGAGCACAGGTTCCCGCTCATCTTATTGCCCTGAGTGGCCTGTGTATCCTCTGAGACCCAAGGCAGCCACCTTCTCCACCTCGGCCACCCTTCCCTGTGCTATGGATGCATTTTTTTTTTTTTTTGGTACTGGGGATCGAACTCAGGACCTTCTGCTTGTGAGGCAGGCGGCGGAACTACTGAGCTAAATCCCCGGCCCTATGGATGCATTCTGGTTCTGCCCCTGTGCTCTGTCCCCATCTTTCCCCCGCCCACTGTACCCCTCTCTGAATTTCTGGCCCACCTGGGTGCTCCGGAAATACGTGTTGAGCATTAATGTTACCTATCCAGCAGGATGCTTTGGCTTTTTTCCACAGTGAGACCAGACCCCAGGAGTTCGAACCCAGGTGGTTTCTGTATTGCATCAGCCCTGCTCTTGCAGACTGGGGAACCTGGAGATGCCAGATGAGACCATACCTCCGTCCTCAGGCTGGGGAGTGGAATCAGGGAATCCCCTTCCCATCTCAAGGTGCCAGGGTCCGTGTTGAGTTTCGCTCTCCACCTGATTTTCTTTTACTGTAAATAAACTTTACTTCTACAGTTACCTTCAAAGGGTAGTACAGTGCAGTGCAACGGCGGCACACTGGGGATGCATGGGCTGAGTGGACAAGGAGAGTTACTGGCTGGAGGAGGGAGGTGAGAGGTGACAGAGCTGAAGGGCCAGCAGCAGCAGGACACGGAGGGCAAGATGGAGTTTCGCTCCCACCCGACTCTGGTGACACAGGTGTTTTGATGGACTCGATTCTGTCTACCCTCTTGGAAACCGATCCAGTGACAGTCTGAGTAGCAGCTCTTTCTCATCACCACCAATAAGTGCTGCTGGAGGTTCTTGGGCAGCTAAGGTCTCTGCTCTCAGACCCTCACACTTTCCCGTTGCAAAGGTTGGCTCCAGCCTTGACTCCTAAACCGTCCATGGCTGGCAGTAAAAGAGGCACCTCGTTCACTCTTTTTTCTTCAAGTCTTCAAACAGGCTTTTTGCTTTTTCTGAACAAGCAGTGAGCTGAGTGGGTCCAGATGCTGACGCTGATCCTGCATTCACGTACTTGAGAAGTTTCTCCATCTCCTCTATCACTGAACCACACTTTTTGGATATTATGATTATGATTAGTATTTTTTTGGTACCAGGGATCAAACTCAGGACCTTGCGCTTGCGAGGCAGGCATGGATATTATTGTTGACTTCATTGGCGCAGCGGACTCCATATGTTCCATGATCTGGTCCTCGTTCTTTGGAATTGTGCCAATGGCTGAGTGCTTCATGTTTTCAGAACCAGTCACGTGTACTATCTTTTCACCTCAATCCAGTCTCTCAATTATTTTTGCTTCAGTTTCCATGGTCACTGCTTTGCACTTCCTAGCAGTCCCCCCCCCCACACCCCACCCCACATCACCACTGCTTTTCCTCTCGCTTCCGGACATCCTGGGCTCTGACTGAGCACTGCGCTACTGCACACTATGGCACTGCACAGTGAGCGCCCGGCAGCACGGCTGTGACAGTGTCTGGGAGACTCGGGAGCTACTTCCACGATGGGTTCCATCTACAAATGTGTGTGATGCAAGGTCCAGTTTGTATCTGTTCAATTTTGCAACTCGAATGTTCAAACCAGGGACTTAGTGTATTTGTTAAGGTGATCTTGCTTTCTCAGCCAGGGGCTAGTCCGCTATTCCTGTTAATAGGAGGCACCTCAGTTCTGCTTCAGCTAAAACAGCTGAGCCTAGAAGGGTTCCAGCCAGACCAGGCGCAGGCTTGTGGCAGAATTCATTCACTCAGAGGGTATTTATTCAGCACTTACTGTGCACTCAGCAATGCAATGTGAGCAGTTTCTTCTTTGAGGAGCTGACAGTCTTTCTGGAGAATCGAATTCATGAAGTAGCTGAAGCATAATTCATGAACCTGTAGAGTTTCCATCCTCGCACTTCCCCAGAAGTCCCTTTCCAGAAGTCGGGATCGCAGTTCTTAAGGTTCAGCTTCAGCCGAACCTGTATTCACTTCTGCTGCGATATCACATCCTCCACCTGATTTTCTTCCTTTTACTTCTAGGAGAAAAAGATGTCATCATATTGGGGGATTTTGGCCAAGGGCCAGATAGCAGTGACTATGATATCCTGAGAAGAGAGAAATTCCACCACCTCATCCCTGCGCACATCTTCACCAACATCAGCACCAAAAACCCCCAAGGCTCCAAATCCCTGGACAACATCTGGATCAGCAAAAGCCTGAAGAAGGTGTTCACAGGTAAGGGAGACAGAACGCAGCCCCACTTCCTCCCATTCTGGAGGAGAGTTGGGAACCCCAGTCCTGTCTGAAAGTGTCAGCTCCTCTGTGAGCATTTACGGGCTTGCTGTTCAGGTCATTTGTCCCTCGTCAGAGATGTGGAGGGAGTACTGGGGTTGGAGCCCGAGGCCCACACGTGCTAGACAAGTACTTCACCCCCAGCCCACCAGCAGGGTCCTTGACGAAAGACAAGAACAGTGCTTTACAGAGTCCCAACAGGTCCACACTGTACCTCAACAAAAATCGTAAAACTAAGAAAAGAGCGATGGCTGTTTCCCAACATGAGAGTCTTAGCATGCGCAGCCAGGCCGTCATCCTTAGTCTGCACTGTGTCACCAACCCCTTCCTCTGGGCACTGGCTTCCTGCTGGACTCTCGGGGGACCTGGCAGGGACCCCCAGCCCCCCAGAGCCCAAGAGAGACTGCGGCTGAGCGTGTGTGGCAGGAGGAGGGAGAGACCCTTCTGTCTCCAGCCCCTGACCTTGACAGCCTAGGACTGAGCCTTGCAGGGGTGCCTGAAACAGCCCGTGATCGCTTCTGTAACTCGTTTAATTGTTGTTGGGTAGACCTCCAACTTAGTTTGTTTCTAAGTCTTTCCCTTTTTAAAAATGCCTTTCCTTTCTCAAAAGCCTAAGTTTCTCTTTCTAACCCCTTCTGTAGAATTCATCACCCACCTCCACCCACCTCCCACCTTAGTGTCTTTTGCTTTGCAAAGTAAGACCTTAGCTGGGGACATCCTCATGAGGCATCTGACCCCAAGTCAAGTACTTTTTGTTTTTGTCTTTGCAGGGCTGGGGATTGAACCCAGGGCCTTTGCACTAAGCTACATCCCTGCCCTCCTCTTTTTAAAATTTGATACAGGGTCTCATTAAGTTGCCCAGGCTGAGCTTGAACTTGCGATCCTCCTGCCTCAGCCTCCCAGAATGCTAGGATGACAGGCTGCACCCCCACACCTGGTTGAAATACATATTTTGCTGGTCAAACTAATAGCCGTCCACAAATGATGTTGGCTCCCTGCTGCCTTTGGATGGGCAGGAGACCTGGCCTCTGGGTAGCTTCAGTGCCTACATGTGTGAGCCTTGTTTGTGTGGAAAGTTGTGTTGGCCAATTGCCTGGCCCCAGCAGTTTCCTTAGGCTGACCTGCCGCACCACCTGCAAGCCCACCGTTCCTGTCCTGACTTCTGGGTGTCTCCCTCCCCTCCAGGTCACTGGGCCGTGGTGAGAGAAGGACTCACGAACCCGTGGATCCCAGATAACTGGTCCTGGGGCGGAGTGGCTTCCGAGCACTGCCCTGTGCTGGCCGAGTTTTACATAGAGAAGGACTGGGGCAAGAAGGACGGGCCTCGAGATAGCGGCAGGGTCACCCTGGAGCACAGTGAAGCCAACACCAAGCAGGAGCGGTGATGACAGCCGAGTGGATTTCTCCCTGGGACCCGGAAGGGCACAGCAGGGAGCGGGCCCTTCTCACCTGCTCCAGGGACATCAGCACGCCACCCCTGGGGGACGGTGGCGCTCGAGGACCTCTCCAGAGCAAGGCATGGCAGTCACATCGGAAGCCCAGGAGAATGTGCCGCACCAGGCTCAGCGGAAGGAGTCTGGCCACCACCAGGCTGGTGGCAGCAGGAGAAGGATGGGGGGCAGCTGAGGCAGAGGGGAGGGAGGAGAGACGCCTCCCAGCCACCAGCTCCCGACATTCCCAGCTCACCAGTGTGCAGCGCTGTTCCGACCCGGCTGCAAATAGCAGAAAGCTTTTAACTGACTCATCTCAAGGATTTTGAGTGGTGATTTTTAGTTTTGTTTTGAAAAAAATAAACAGATGAACCTGCCCTGCTGTGATGCGCCTGAGACGCTTTCCTCGAGGCTGCGCATGCGCCTGGGCCCTTGCTCCGCCTGCCCCTCACATCCCAGCCGCAGCCCTGCAGTGCCCGGCATCTCTGCAGACCCTCCTGCCGCTCCTTCTCCCCTGACTCCCTTGCCAGACTCTCTTTGCAGCAACATTTCTGCTTCCAACCACTTCCTGGAGCACAAGGGTTCTATCACAGAGACACCCCGTCTTCCCGCTTGCCATCAGATTCCTAGCCCAGAGGCTCCCTGTGTTGCTCTGATTTACAGCTGGCTTCCACATCCATGGACTCGGCCAGCCTTAGATCAAAAATATCTTTAAAAATTGCATATGTGCTAAACATACAGGCTTTTTCCCCCTTGTTGTTATCCCCTAAACAATATAGTATAACCATTATTTATGTATCATTTATGCTGCATTAGGTGTCATAAGTCATCTAGAGATGATTTAAATTTATGGGATGCTGGGCCTGGTGGTGGATACCCATAGTCCCAGCTACTCAGGAGGCTGAGGCAGGAGGATTACATGAGTCCAGGAGTTCAAGACCAGCCTGGGCAACATAGTGAGCCCTGTCCCAAATAATAAAGTATACGGTGGGATGTATATATGTTACAGGCCAATGCCATGCCATTTAATGTAGGGGACATGACCATGCATGGATTTTCATGTCCCCTGGGGGATCCCTGCAACCTTCTTTTTGTTGATAATGAAGGATAGCTGTGTGCTGACTCAATACACAGGAAGGTCAGGCTGAGTGTCCAAGGAGGGAGGGTCCTTCTTCGTGGTTGGGGTTGGCCTCATCTTTAGGCTCATCGTGACACTGTCCTGTGAGACCAGGATGATAATGTCCTCTTCACACCTCCTGAAGGACACCCAGCCAGTAAGGAAATGGATGGGAACTCTGGCAGTCAGGGTGGAGGGTCAGCTTGATTGGCATGGGACCCAGTGGGGGGATTGGTGGAGCACACTTCTGTGTGTGTCTGGGTGGGACATGGAGGCATGACCTTGGGGTCTATGTCTGGTCCCTGGCCCCTTCCTCTCTGTTGCTACTCCCTTGCTCTGCTTCCCGGCAGCCATGAACTAGGAAGCTTCCCTCTTCCATGCCCTTCTGCCATGATGTTCCTGCCTGGGAGCCAGCCAACCATGGACTGAATCCCCTGAACTATAAGCCAAATAAAACCTCTCCTTTACATTGTGGGTGTTGGGCATTGTGTCCCAGCAATGGAAAAGCTGACTGATCCAGGATTCCAACCCCATGCTCACAGATCAACTTCATGCTCACATTAATGTGAAAGTGTAAAGATGAATAGTGAGAAAGTCATGAGCTTCAATTCCCTAGGTCACCCCAGTTTCCCATGGAGTTTCCCACAGAGGCCTCTTCCACTCACTGTGCACCAGCACTGAGAATCCTCCTGCCCCCAGGCCATGTGACCTCAGTAGTTTCTGGGGCCTGTGGCTGACGGACTGTAATAGAGTCCTGGCCCTGGAGACTGTCACTCACCTTGCACACACAGAGGAAGCTCCCTCAGGATGTGCCTGGGGACACTTGGGGAGCAGCTGTGCCCCTTCTGCCCTTCTGGGGTTGAGGGAGAGGAAGGTAGTTCCTGTCTCTCCAGCCAACCTGGGCAGGAAACCCCAGGTCAGCACCTGGAGTCCTTGGGGCCAGAGAGGTGCTGCTCAGCAGCGCATGTGTTTTTGGTGCCTCATCTAAAAGTAATAGCCTCGCCTGCATTTTCCAGGCAGGCGCCCCACACTGTTTTAGCAGGATGTCTTTTTCCACCAAAGCTGTGGACAGAAAAGGCTTCTTCCTGGGGTGAGCAGGGGAGGAAATCCATCTAAAGGAGCTTTGGAGGCTTTGTGCAGAGGCTGGGAGCTGAGCAGCAGCCACAGCTCGTGGGCACTGCCTGTGACCTGTCCGGGCCATCAGGGTGTGCGTGGACAGATGGCTGACCTTACTCTAGCCGGCCCACTTGGCTTTTACTTTCAGTTTTGACGTTTGTTATTTTTGTTGCTGTGAATTAATACACTTTATTGTTAAGAGCACTTTTAGGTTTACAAGAGAGTAGGCACAGAGGACAGAGCCTGCAGGTCCTCCCCACCCCCGCTGCCCCAGCATTAACGTTGTTTTTCTGTGGTTCATTTGTCACAACTGCTGTCATGTCCTGGTTTACAGAAAGGTTCCCTCTGCGCGGTGTCCTCTGGGTTTTGCCAAATGGACAGATGGGCCATCCCAATAAGCCCACAGTGAATTGAAAAGGTCGTCAAGTCAAAAAATGCATTTAAGCCAGGCGTGGTGGTGCATGCCAAGGACGGCAAGTTCAAGCCCAGCCTGGGCAATTTAGAAACTTAGACCCTATCTCAAAATAAAAAATAGGGCAAAGGAGGTGGCTCAGTGCAAAGGTTGTGTTCAATCCCCAGGACCGGGAAAAAAAAAGGAGTGCCTTTAATACAGCTCACATATGGAACATCATTGCTTTGCTCTACCCACCTTAAATGAGTTCAGGACACGGACACTTTGCCTACAGTTGGGCAAAATCATCTACTCCAAAATCTATTTGATAATAAAGTGTGGACTGTGTCCTATAAGCTATTGAATACCTGTATTAGCGATACTGCCTGTCATAAGGCAACCATCAGAAGCTGGGACCGTCTGCAGGATGGCATATATCCCAGCACAGTATCACACAGAGCATCCCACTGCCCCAGGCATCCTGGGTGTGTGACCTTTCAGATTAGCTTCTGCCTATCCACGGTGCACGTCGGTGGGGGAGGTGGGGTTTTATTAGGATGCACCAGGTTTCCCTGGAAAATCATGGGATGCTGCATCCTAATGGCCTTGAAGATTTTGTTACATAACATGTTTTTATGAGGACATGATAGCCATCTTCATTCAGGGGGTGTTTGCTCTTGAGCTGAAACATTCTTGCGATGACAAATGACCTTCACAAATGGCTTTTGCTTTCAGGGATAGCCTGTGGCACAGCCTTCTTGTGTAATCTTTTGAACGAACACATTGTCCATGTTGAACATCATTCTTCTGACTAGAGAACAAGACTATCAAGTTTTCAGCTCACACTTTGATGCTATATGAAAACCACCAGTTATCCCCATGCTCTGAATCAGAGTATCTCAGCCATCAAAGGCTGAGGCAGGAAGATCTCAAGTTCAAGCCCATCCTGGGTGATTTAGAGAGGTCCTGTCTCAAAAAGGAGCTGAGGATGTATCCCTGGGTTCACAAAAGGGGTAGGGTGAGGGGATCTTTTAGAAGTTACAATGCTGGGCAAAGAAAAGAAGAATGACTTTATGAGGGACAACTTTGCAAAGTAAAGCAGATTTGGGATCCAGTGGCATAAAGCAAAGCAAGGCAATCAGTCAACTAGCTCTGCCTCCCCATCACCCCTAGCAACCACGGCTGCTCTCCTGCCTCCTGGTTTTGCCCTTCCCAGAGCATCTCGGAGTTGAAATCACACAGTGAGGCTCTCTGTGGAGTGGCTTTTATTCGAGGTGATGGGTTAGGGTTAGGATCAGGGGCTAGGGTTAGGGGTTAGGGGTTAGGGTTAGGGGTCAGATTTAAGGGTTAAGGGTTAGGGTTAGGGATTAGGGTTAAGGGTTAGGGGTTAGGGTTAGGAGTTAGGTTTAAGGGATAGGGGTTAGGGTTAGGGGTCAGATTTAAGGGTTAGGGTTTAGGGTTAGGGATTAGGGTTAAGGGTTAGGGGTTGGGGGTAGGGGTCAGATTTAAGGCTTAGGGGTTAGGGATTAGGGTTAAGGGTTAGGGTTAGGGTTAGGGGTCAGATTTAAGGGTTAGGGGTTAGGGTTAGGGGTCAGATTTAAGGGTCGGGGGTTAGGTTTGGAGTAGGGTTAGGGTTAGGCTTAGGGGTTAGGTTTAGATTCGGGGTTAGGGTTAGGGTTAGGGCATTCGGGTTTTCTCTGGCTTCCTCTCTCTGAACCATACTTCACTTCCTGCAGTGGACCTGCCCTCTTGTGGGTGGCTCCAAACCCAGAGCTTCTCAAGTCCTTGCACCCCAGCACCAGCTCTGTGTACCTGTGAATGTGGCTTTCCCCACTCCACTGCCTCCCAGTTCTTCCTTTTCTCCCTTCTGCCTGTCAGTGCTGGGCCCAGCTGGGGAGGACTTGGTGGGAGAAGCCATTGGGCCCTCCTTAGAGGAGCTTGGTTTTTCTGGACATGATAAGGGCTGGAAGTTCTCAAGCCCCAGGCCCCAGGTCGAGCCTCCTGCATTCCTAGTGGCCCCCATCCCAGGGACTCAGCAGGTGGCAGAGCTTACTCCACCCCACCCCACCCTGTCCTGCCCTCTGCCCCAGGAGGGCTGAGAGCTCAGTGCCCTGCAGTGCACCTGGTAGCCAGGTTCCATGTCCTCAAGGTTCAGACTCAGCGTGAGTGGCACCCTCACCTAACTGGCCCAGGGAGGAAGAGTAGTTAACCTGGGCTCTCTGAGACTACACAAAAACTGTTTTCTATGGCTGAGTGTGGTAGCGCACATCTGTAATCTCAGCACTAGTGAGTCTGAGGCAGAAGGATTGCTTTGAGTCAAGACCAGCTTGGACTACAAAGTGAGACACAACCCCAAGACACATACCCCAAAAATGGGGGTTGAAGCCAGGGTCTTTTCTCTGATTTAAAGTCCCCCACCCTTTTAAAAATATTTCTGAGACAAGTTCTCACTACATCACTAAGTTGCCAAGGCTGGGCACAAACTTTCAATCCTCCTGCCTCAGCCTCCCAGAGTGTTGGGGTTACATGCATGTGCCATCCACCCAACTAAAATGGCAGTTATTTTCTAGCCTGGATGACACTGCTAAATCATGGCTATTTTTCTTTCTTCTTTAAATGCTGGCTGTTAGGCAGAACGAAGCAAAGTCTGGTTGGGGGGACAAAGACTGAGAAGGCGCTCATGTCCCAGCATGAGCCAGCACCCTGCAGATCCAGGCCCAACCCAAAGTGGAGGTGCAGGGGGTGGGGACCTCAGCTGAAGACCAGCAGGAGGACCCTGGGGTTGGGGGTGGCGGGCACGAGAGCAGTTGCCTGTGAGGTTGGGATGATGCTGATTTTCATGGCCCACGACACGTGGGCTGTTGGTTCTGGCATCTGTTTATTGAACTGCGTTCTGCCAGTCGGTGACGACCATCCGGGTGCCTGCCTGCACTGCTGACCCCAACACGACGAGTTGTTTATCACATGATCGTGTGGGCAGGGGACGTGAAGGATCCAGTTGTGCTGCCATGAAGTGTTCAGTGGCTGCAGGGAGAAGGGCTGGGGACACGAGTGCCCTTGACCAAGGCAGGCACAGGCCAGGGAGGCTTCCTACTTCCTTCCATCCCGGACGCTGTGCGGGAGTCTAAGGTGGACTTGGGGTTGGGTCTTACCTAGTGACATGGGCTGCAGAGCACAGGGGACAGCCAGCCAGGGGAGGCCGGGCATGGGGCCATCGGGGACAGCAAAGGTGAGGCGTCCCAACTCCCTCTGTCCCTCTGCTTCCCTGGTCTGGGCCTGAGGTGGCCAGGCGGGGCCTGAAAACATGGAGTCTCAGGCGACCCAAGCTCAAAGGCAAGGAAGGCCCTACTCTGCCCCTGTGGGCTCTGCTCTTGGAGGAGGGGCAGAGCCTCCTGCTGTGAGGCCAGGCAGGGCAAGGAGGCAGAGAAAGGCTGTAGTGACTTTGGTGACTTTGCTCTGCTTCGGGTTCTCTGAGTTTAGGGGCCACCCCATCCCCTGCAGGCTTCCTCTCCTGGTGCTTTCAGGGTGCTGGGTGCCTAATGGTATCTGGTGAGCAGGCCGTAGTTCAGTCAGCAGTCAGCGAGGGGTGCAGGCACCTGTGGAGCACCCAGTGGCTCCTGTGATTTAATGAAGGATTCTGGGAGGGGAACTCGAGGCCCTGGGGTGTCACTGTGTAAGGGAGTACAGTTGGCCAGGCGGTGACTGCACAGGAACTGGCTCCTCTGGACAGAGCCTGAGTTCACCACTACAGACAGAGGGGAGCTGCCCGCCCAGACTTGCTGTGAGCTGTGCTTTGCTTTGAGTTCTGACACTTGGAAGTGATATTTAAAATAGAAAACCCCAAAGCACCTTAGCTCTTGGCAAACAGGCGGCGTCCCAGGTCTCTGTGTAGAGGAACCCTGTGAATGTCCTGGGTTGGATATTTGCTGGCTGTCAAAGGTCAAGGATAGGGAGCCAGGAATCCCGGGATTAGCAGGAGTGGTCGCCTGTAATCACAGCACTCTGAAGCCTGAGGCAGGAGGATCACTAAAAGTTTGAGGCCACCCTGGGCTATGCAGTGAGTTCAAGACCAGCCTAGATTACATAATGAGACCCTGTCTCAAAAAACTAAAAATAAAATAAAGGAATCCCAGGTCACCCAGCAGGGTAACCTGGGGCAACTGGTGACCTGCACTGAGGATCCCCCTGGGGCAGTGGTCCTCCCACTGGCCAAGGAAGCACACTGTGGAAACCTGCCTGGCATGCAGATGTTTTTCAGTTCAGAGCTTTGAATCTAGGGAACTCTGAGCTATATCCTCAGCTCCCCCCCACCTTTTTTTGAGAAAGGATCTCGTTTAGTTTGAAACGAGGCTGGACTTGAATTTGCAATCCTTCTGCTTTGGCCTCTTGAGTAACTGGGATTATAGCCTTGGACATGTAGTGCCTTGTTTGTTTGTTTTTTGCGGTACCAGGGATCAAACTCAAGACCTTGTGCTTTTGAGACAGGTGTGGTGCCACTGAACTAAATCCCCGGCCCTGTTTGTTTGTCTTTTGAGACAGTGTCTCCTATGTAGGCCAGGCTAGCCTCAGCTCACAGCAATCCTGCTGCCTCAGCCTCCTAAATGCTGGAATTATAGCCCGGCAGCTGTAGGAATGCTTTAGAACATTTCTCTCTCTCTCTCTCTCTTTTTTTTTTTTTTAAATACCAGGGATTGAACTCAGGACCTTGCGCTTTCGAGGCAGGCAACAGAACAACTGAGCTAAATCCCCGTCCCAGAACATTTCTTTTTCTGAATTCTGTTTATCACCATTAACTTATCCAAGAAGGCAAAGTCACTGGACAATGTAGAAGTCTGAAATTTCCACCCTTGCCTCCCCTCCGGGTCTCAGGGGCTGCTGCAGAGACGTCTGGGTCCTGAGGCTCTTGGGGGAAGATGTGCTGCAGGATGTGGAAGCCCAGCTAGCCCAGGGCTCCTCCAAGGTTTCCCCCCAGCCTGGTTATAGAAAGTCTGCTTCCCTGGGGATGGGGTCCTCAACCCCCAGCGTTTACCTGGAGGCCATCCAGAGGCCTGGGGGGTCCTGGCTGCATAGTACTGAGTATTTCTGAGAGGCAGCAAATTGCTGCTGGGCTCAGCATGTGGAGTTCTAGTTCAGCACGTGGGTTCCCAGCTTTGCCCGCAACCCGGAAACAGTGGCCTCCGTGCGTGGGACATTGTGACTTGCTGAGCAGAGAAGTATCTTTGGCCAGAGGATCTGGTAACTTTTCACATGATCTTCTTCTCTTCAATTTCTCTATAAAAGAAAAACTGCGCCCGGGAGGCCGCGGCGCAGTCTCTGCAAGCCGAGCCGACCCGAGCCGTGCTGATCGGCATCCGGCCCCGGCTCTCGCGTGATCCCGGCTGGCGGAGCTGTCCGGTTAGCGGGCGCCGCTGCAGCCCACGGAGCTCGAGAACATCGTAGCGAACACGGTGCTACTCAAGGCCCGGGAAGGTGGAGGTGGAAATCGCAAAGGCAAGAGCAAGAAATGGCGGCAGATGCTTCAGTTCCCCCACATCAGCCAGTGTGAAGAGCTGCGGCTCAGTCTTGAGCGTGACTACCACAGTCTGTGTGAGCGGCAGCCCATTGGGCGCCTGCTGTTCCGGGAGTTCTGCACCACGAAGCCTGAGCTGACTCGCTGCATTGCCTTCCTGGACGGGGTGGTCGAGTACGAGGTGACCCCAGATGAAAAGCGGAAGGCATGTGGGCGGCGGCTAATGCAGAATTTTCTGAGCCACACGGGTCCTGACCTCATCCCTGAGGTCCCCCTGCACCTGGTGACTAACTGTGCCCAGCGGTTGGACCAGGGGCCCTGCAAAGACCTCTTCCAGGAGCTGTCCTGGCTGACCCATGAGTACCTGAGCATGGCCCCTTTTGCTGACTACCTCGACAGCACCTACTTCGACCATTTCCTGCAGTGGAAGTGGCCGGCAAGGCAGCCAGTGACGAAAAACACCTTCAGGCAGCATCGAGTCCTTGGCAAAGGTGGCTTTGGGGAGGTGTGTGCCTGCCAGGTGCAGGCAATGGGAAAAATGTATGCCTGCAAGAAGCTGGAGAAGAAACGGATCAAGAAGCGGAAAGGGGAGGCCATGGCTCTTAATGAGAAGCAGATCCTGGAGAAAGTGAACAGTAGGTTTGTAGTGAGCTTAGCCTATGCCAATGAGACCAAGGATGCACTGTGCTTAGTGCTGACGCTGATGAATGGAGGTGACCTCAAGTTCCACATCTACCACATGGGCCAGGCTGGCTTCCCTGAAGCACGTGCTGTTTTCTATGCTGCTGAGATCTGCTGCGGGCTGGAGGACCTGCATTGCGAGCGCATCGTGTACAGGACCTGAAGCCAGAGAACATCCTTCTGGATGACCACGGCCACATCCGCATCTCTGACCTGGGCCTGGCTGTGCATGTGCCTGAGGGCCAGACCATCCAAGGCCGTGTGGGCACTGTGGGCTACGTGGCTCCAGAGGTGGTGAAGAACGAGAGGCACACATTCAGCCCTGACTGGTGGGCGTTAGGCTGCCTCCTGTATGAGATGATCACAGGCCAGTCACCCTTCCAGCAGAGGAAGAAGATCAAGCGGGAGGAGGTAGAACGGTTGGTGAAGGAGGTGCCCAAAGAATACTCTGAGTGCTTTTCCCGGCAGGCCTGCTCGCTCTGTTCCCAGCTCCTCTGCAAGGACCCGACGGAGCACCTGAGGTGTCATGGGGGCAGCGCCCAGGAGGGGAAGGAGCACCCTCTTTTCAAAAAACTGAACTTCAAGCGGCTGGGAGCAGGCATGCTAGAACTACCCTTTAAACCTGATCCTCGGGCCATTTATTGCAAAGATGTTCTGGACATTGAACAGTTCTCCACTGTTAAGGGCGTGGAGCTAGAGCCAAAGGACCAGAACTTCTACCAGAAGTTTGCCACAGGCAGTGTGCCCATCCCCTGGCAGAACAAGATGGTGGAGACTGAGTGCTTCCAGGAGCTGAATGTCTTTGGGCTGGATGGCTCAGTTCCCCCAGACCTGGACTGGAAGGGCCAGCCACCTGCACCACCCAAGAAGGGATTACTGCAAAGATTCTTCAGCCGCCAGAGGATTGCTGTGGGGACTGCAGCGACACTGAGGAAGAGCTCCCCACCCATCTCTAGTCCCCAGCCTTCGGCCCCCACCGGCGATTGGCAGTAGCAGCTACTCCAAGTGCTGTTTACAGTTTTGCACAGTGGTCTTCCCCATTGTCCACTCAAGTCGTGGCCTAGGGAACATAGCCAGAGTTGTCCCCAGTGTCCTCTGGCCCTTAGCCCTTGGCCTGGCTGAGTTTGGAAAAGCCTGGGCCATCCCTGGGACAAAGGTGCATCCCTTTAGCTCCTCTGCGGAGCTCTGGGATTTCTGTATTTATGTATTTGTATGAATGTGTATAGCAACCAGAGCGTTCTTAATTCCTACCCTAGACCTGGCGGCCCGCCTCAGCCTCCAAGGCAGCAAGCCCTGGCTGGGAGAGTTAAGAGACACCAGAGGGGCCACTGCCGAAGTTGAGGCTTCTCAGGCCCCACTCAGAAGGGGCAAGGCCAGATCCCTGAAGCCCCGGCATTGTACTGGCCACCACCAGCCTCGGGGTGAGACTCATGCCTGCCCTTGCTGTCCTAGGCTCAGGCTGCACTGACTAGGGCCCGGTAGTATCCCTTTATAGCAAATGTCAGAATTAAATCTGGGAGGAAGGGGCCGGGGACTTAGCTCAGTGGTTCCACCGCCTGCTGCGCAAGCACAAGGACCCGAGTTCGATCTCCGGTACCAAAAAAAAAATCTGGGGGTTCTGTATCCTGTAGGCCTGTGCCAAGCTGTGAACAGAGGTTGGACTGACCGTGAGACCCATTAGTTCACTGCCCAAGGTGATCCACCTTGGTCTCCCTCTGCTTTCCAGCTCCCAGCTCACCTTGTCTCTTATGCTGGGCCCTGAAGACACCTCTTTCAAAAACGCTCCAGCCCAGGCCATAGGAGAAGTAGGGGTGTCCTTGACCAACTCTGGCCAACATTCTAGAATCCCCTCAAAAATATTCACATGAAAGGCTGGGGATGTAGCTCAGTGGTTCCACCGCCTGCCTCAAAAGCACAAGGTCCAGAGTTAGATCCCTGGTACCCCCCCCCAAAAAAAAACATTGGGTTTCCCTCCCCCTAAAAAAAAAAAAATTCACATATGCCCAGCAATAACCTGGCCCTCCCTGTGTGTGCCCGTGGGGAATGTGTGGGTGTGGGTATGTGTCTGTGTATGTGTGAAGGGGCTAGGGTAAGGCTGTGCCTATGACCCTGCCCCAGCCCCAGCCCTGGTCCTCCCAGACTGTGCCAGCCATCTTGGTCCCCCGTGTTAGGGTAGAATGGGATTACAGGACCCTGGTTGTTCCATATTTAAAGCTAATTTTTATTACTCAAAAAAAAAAAAAGAAAAATGGTTTTTCTGAGAAGTGTCTGAAGTTACGGTGTTGGTAAGATAAAGCAGGCTGTGAATTCCAAACTGCCAGCGTCTTGTGTATTGCTTCAAATGCACACACCTGTGCATTACTGAAGAGCAAGTCTAACGGGCTTACTGTCCCTACAAACCCTTGCTATTTAAAAAAAAAGTTTGAGATAGGGTCCCACGCACCAAGTTGCCCAGGGTGTCCTTGAATTACGATCCCGTTTCAGCCTTTCCAGCAGGTGAGATTACCAGCTTGGGAATTTTATGACAAACTTAGCAGTGCGAGTTTTACAGTAGACAGAGGGGGAACTGGATTTTGTGGAGTAAGGTGGCAGGAAACTTCAGTAACTCCTCCAGGTCTTCACAGTGCTATACAAACTTCTCTTGCTACAGTCTTTCTCGCTTGAAATCCAAAGTACAGGTTAGGATCTAGCTGCAAGGGTCTGATAAATCGCCAGAAGAGTGGGAAGAAGAGGGGAAAGAGTAGAGCTAGGGGTCCCTCTGGTGGAGACCTCCGGAAATTCACTAAGGATGCCACTCTGGCCTCCAAGACCGGCAGCTCTGGCTGTCAATATCTAATCACAGACATGAGACCCAAACAAGTCACATGGAACTGGATCTTCCACCAGAAGCCAGTGACAATACTGTCTTCCTAAATCCCAGTCAGCTTCCCCATAGGATCCAAGCTACTTAATTTTCTTTGAGATTTAACAGTAGTTAATTAGGAAAGTGCTCCAAACTCGATAGGGGTATTCTATGTGTTTTGAGGTGCTGGGGAGTGAGTGAACCTTGGGACTTGCAGATGCTAGGCAAGTGCTCTAGCAATGAGCTACACCCTCAGTTCTGATAGAGGTGTTTTAATACAGCCAGGGAACCAAATATCTAGTTTATTTAGATCTGAGACGTTTACTCTTATGTTATTTCCTCTTTGCTACTAGGAACTTTGGTATACATCACGTATGCTGCAGCCGGCTACTTATCACTGAAAGCTCTAAAAGGTTCACCACCATTGGTCTATATGAATGCAGGTTATTTTGCCTTATTTCATCCCCATGGAGGGTGGAGATTTCTACAGAGCTCCACAATGCCTGGGAACTACTGTCCAGTAAAACCCCACTTATTCTTAGGGCTTCTGCTCCACGACCAGCTGACAAATAACTGATATGTCACCTCCTGGCACTTGTTTCAAGGCAATACTTCCTTTGGCTGTGGGAGTGACCATGAACACAGGCAGGTGAGACCCATAGCTGACAGGCTTTCTGAATTCAAAGACCGCTTACCCGGCTGGAGTGGGGGCTCTGGCCCTCTCCTCAGCGCCAACTCTCTTCATGTTGGCTTCTTTTGGTACCCAGGCTTCTTGCCCTTCGGTGCTGGGGATGGAACCCAGGGCCTTGCCCATGTGAGGCCAGCGCTCACCACTGAGCTGCACCCTGGCCCCACCTGGCTTGAGGACCCCAGAGGCTGCTTTCATGGCCTGCCCCTCCCTGGGCTGAGCTGCTCAGGCTCCAAACGCAAGCCCTGCAAAAAGCTGTGGTGAGACCTGTGAGGAGTCACCACTGGGCACGTGGCTCTCGCGCGGATGCAAACACACGGGCTGCAGCACGCGTTTACTCATGTCGCGCCGCTGCCTTCCCGACTGGGTCTGCTCTTCTTCCTCGGAGATCTCTGGCACTCAGCACAGCTCCTACCCCTCAGCAGGTCCTGTGTGAGGCTTTACTGAATGGACAGTCACTCCCGGCCCTCTCCCCTCTTCCTTCCCCAGACCCCATGGGCTGTGAGCTGAACCAGTTAGGGAGGGGCTCAGATGCAGTTCTTCTCCCCCAGGAAGGCCGCCGGGAGACAAAATCCACTAGTGCCTTCTCGGTAATTACCACACAATGAAACACAAGAAAGGTCACAATAAAAATATAATTTGGCTTTCAGAGAACGGAAGTTGACATGCATACAGTATATGTCCACATACTTCATTTGGGAACCTCAGTGCTACTTGTTTTTATTATAACTCAACACAAAATGCCCAGAGATATACAATAGAAATGTTAAGCACTTTTACAAAAGTGAAAATATAAAGAAATGAAAACTATGGATTTATGTTTGCAAACAATTTTACTTTAAATTCATCTGATGCTAAAACTTACCAGTTTATCAAAATATTTACTTGGTCCAACTGTAAGAATTATAGTGGACAAAACTGATGAAATCCTAATTATCCACTATTACAGTTAAAGTCAGTAGGTCTTCAAGTAGGTAGGTACTGTCGCTAAAATGTTCTGTTCATTAAAATTTTTATTTTGGGGAACAAAACAGATCTGACTTCTATTTCAGCTTCAAGCTCAATTTAAAAGCTGAAAGCACTTTTAAAGTATTTCTGCTATCTGAAGCTACTTTTGGTTCACCGCTAAATTATAAAACATTTTAACGACAATCAATGTGATTGAAGGTCATTTTTTGTCTACTGAATGTTTTTGTATCTCTCTACCAAAACAGTAAGGCAAGAAAGCAGTTCCTTTTCCAAATCAAAGACAGTATCTACCCACTTTAAAATTTAGGGGCTTGGGCCAGGGATTTAGCTCAGTGGTTTCGCCACCTGCCTTGCAAGCTCAAGGACCTGAGCTTGATCCCCAATACCAGAAAAAAAAAAAATTTTAGGGGCTAGGACCACTGCAAAATATCCCAGTAGGAAATTAAGGCTGCTGTGATTTTTCTTTAAACTATACCGTAAGATTAGCAGTGTTCCTGCCTGCATATGTTGGATTTACAAGCATCTGGGCTTAAGTCACAGGACACAGGTACGGTATTGCCATTTCTGTCTATACTTATAAGACATGGCTTCCACAATCACCTTCAAAGAGTTTTAAGACAAAGTCAGAAAACACTACACTGAGCTGGAAGTACCTGACTCTGCCGCAAGGACAGGTGCTCAAGGTGATGGCAGGCATCGTGGCCCTGCTGCCTCCCGGAACAGAGGTGCTAGACCCGAAGTCAGGAAGGTGCAAGGTGGTGCTTTCTGCGCTCCAGAGGACCTGGCAGGCACCAGCTCGTCTCTCCTGGGTGTGTAACATCCTGCTCTGAGGCAAGCCTTTCAAAAAGCTCTCACCCCAGCTGCACAAGGTTTCCTATGATCACTTCTAGCACGAAAGGGACCAGGCTTTGCAGTATGAAGCTACCTGGGTGAGCACCAGGGTTTGGCCTGAACAAGGTATAGAGCACTCTCAGGGGGCTTTGGGTAGAGATCGCAGTAGCAACTCAGAACATGGATCCTTTCTGATCTTTAGAGTAAGTTGTTCAAGAGCTATCTGATTCCCAGTATGCACAGCCAAGTATAAACTAAACCACCTGCAAAGTGAGGTGTGGATGCTGACAGCAGAAGTACACAAACAACTCTCACTGTGGAGCTTACTTCACATCGGCACTGGGGGATGAGGTCACAGACTGGGACAAGGGACACCGAGTGTGTGTCACAAGGCCAGGCGATGAGGTGGAAATGCCTGCAGATTTGATTGCTGAGCATGGTCAAGTTGACCTTAGGTTCTAGGTCAGGCTCTCTGTCCCCTCCTTGGGACATATTCCCAAAGAAGTGAGCAGCTTTCCCCTTCCCCAGCCGTTTTGATTTGTGCAGAACATATTCTTATCATTTCTATAAAATAATGCAGAGGGAAGAACCTTAAAACTTTTAAAGTTTTTAAGTTTTAGAGGGGCATAATAGGTTTCAGGAAGTGAAAAGGGTTTAGTTAAGAGAAAACCAGGCAAAAAGAGGCTGGGGATGTAGCTGGGTGGTGGAGCACACACAATTTTCTAATTGAGTTTCTAGAAGCTGAGAAGGTGAAATAATACTGTATAAAATAAAGGACTTAAGGACAACTTTTCAAATAGCTTTTCCCCTTCCTTTAACATTACTTAACTTTAACTTATAAGAGAAATAAGAAATCTGAGCTGTAGCTGGCTTTCTGGAGCGTCCCAAGACTGAGTGTTCAAAGGAGAGTGCACAATCCCACTTGCAGTGTGCAGGGCAGGGCAGGGCAGGGCAGGGCAGGGCAGGCTCCATCATAGAGTTGCCTCAGTGCTGGGGCAGAAGTTTACCGCTTGATGCAACCAGGAGTCTTCAGAAACACTTAGCAGGCGCAATTTCAGTCAACTCTGCCAAGACTGAGATGCAAACAGGACAACCTCGCTCTGTAGCCCACAGAAACATTTTAGGGAAACAGTCCGTGTGCATTTAACCTAAAAATTCAGCTGAACACTGAGGACCATGCTTCAGAAAAGTCAAGTCAAAAGTCCCTCTCTCTTCTTGTGGATCCACTGGCGCTGCTGCACCTAGCTGGGACTCCCTCGGGCCAGCTGGTCTGTGCCGGTCCTAGATGAGGGCCCGCAGCTCCCTGTCCGTGAGCTTGTTCACCTCCATGATCTTCTCCAGGTGCTCCCTGTACCGCTCATGGTCCTGCAGGAAGTGCGGGACCCGCATATTCTCAGTGACCGCCAGGCCTTTCAGGCGATCCACGTCTTCATAAGACACCTGGAAAAGGGCACAATTTAAAAAGCAACTAGAATTTACATTTAAGATGGATTTCTGCCCTGGGTCTTAAAAGGGAGCATATGGATCACTTTGAAATTATTGTTTTTCTGGGTTTTTTTGAGACAGGATCTCACCATGTAGTTCAGGCTGGCCTTGAACTTACTACGTAGGCCAGGTTGGCCTTAAATTCATGGCAATCCTCTTGCCTCAGCCGCCCTCGTGCTGGGATTATAAATGTGCACCAGCATGATTGGCCTCAAATTACTTTAATAACTGCAAAATACCAAAAATCAGTGGCTTTCTTTTTTCTTTATTATGTTAAATAAAAACACATTTGTCTCCTTCTGCTAGGACCATATGAAAAGACTACTGCAAGTTCACTATTTAACACTATCTTGGGCCTAAATCAATTTGTCTAAATAGTATGCAACTAACTTTATGTGTGCTGTGAGACTTCAAATCCAAATAAAACTCCTTCTAAATCAAATAAAGAATAAAGATAATGGAATAATTGTTAAATTAGCACCATTTTATATTAGATTCCTATTTCTATTTCACTTGAGAAACAAAGATTTGTGATTTGTGATTTGTATTATATTCTTAATTTTGAGTTTTTCTAAGCATTTTTTTAAAATTTCACATTTCATTCTCCTATGTAAAAAGTCAATTTTTCACAGGTATTTCTTTCAGGTTTAGTAGTAAAGCTTTTCAGTTCTATAAATTATCTTTTTCATCTTTAAATTCCAAAACATGGCTGATTTCAGTAAAAGGAGATTTATATGATCTGGAGAAAAACCAGACTATAACATGGTTGATTTCAAATACTACCGTCTCCTGATCAACATTCTGCCAGGTTCGGTGGGAAGGTTTTCTGAAAAGAAATCATGTTCATACCCTATTTTCCTGAAAATAAGTTCCAGTTAAGCTCATTAGCCAGATGCATTTAGGACATCTGTTGCAACACACGTTGGGTGTACTGAGGCTTATAAAATAATATTAATATATAATTTAATGTAAATAAATATTGACATTAATACTTAAAATAAAAAATATAAACTATAAATATTTGTTAACACCGAAGAGGATGCCTTTGTATGAGAAGTAAACACCTGTGTAGACAAACTCCAGACTTATGACCAATTGACCAGAGTACAGACAATGCACCAGTAACACGCACACTTGGTAACGAACTGTCTAATATGAATCTTCGTAATTCAATATATCATGTGTTGCAACAGATTCACTTAATGCACTCCTGTGAAATAAGAAATGTTTTCTGAGTTTTGGTGCCAGCAATTTTTCATCGCTTTTGTGTGGACCGTCAATCTTAACTGTCATCGTTTTCATTGCTGCTCCTACCTCCTAAGTCTTCAATTAACACTCGATTTAACGGAGACGCTGCAAAGCCACCCTGCAGGAGGTTGTGACTTGGGTGAAGAACTCACAGGATAAAATCACTGACAACTGTGTTGCCTGTGCACTCTGAGCAGGCCACACGAACAGGAAGCTCTCATTTAGGAGAGCTCTGTTGCTGGTTCTTCAGGAAATGGAGTCACAAGAAATCCAGGCCAGAATTCGGGGTCTGGAGAGTTAGGATGATGTTCCAGAAGAAGACATGACTGTATTTGAATAAATGCAGATTTCTATACATGAATAAATGAATATAGATTGTTTATGAAAAATAAGACATCCGCTGAAAATAAGCTGTCCTGTGTCTTTTGGAGCAAAAATTACTGTAAGATTCAGTCTTGTTTCTGGGGAAATGTGGCATATCTGTATCTTATTCATTTTTAAGTGTTTTATTATTATTATTATTATTAATTATGTAGTTACTATTTACACCCCTAAATGTAATGAAAACAGGTTTGTGCACACTAGTGTGGCTGGCTTAGTAGCCCTAGCCCACCCTGAGTTTATGAGAAGGGATGGGAACAGGCACACCTTGGCCTACTGTGCTTCCCAGACCACGGCCTTTTTACAAATTGAAGGTCTGTGGCAGCCCTGTGCCGAGCGAGTTTATTAATGCTGTTCTGCCAACAGCACTGCTCACTTCCTGTCTCTGTGCTGCATTCCAGCCACTCCCACAATACTGCCCGCCCTTTCATCACTACTGCACGTGTTCTGGTGACCTGTGTTGCTGCTCTCGCTGCTACCTAACGCATGTGCTGCCCGCCCACTGACACGCTCACTGCAACAGCGCCTGCTTGGCTCCTCTCCTGCTTCCCAGACACCACCACCTGCCGAAGGTCTCCAAGGCTTCATTGAGGAAGTGGATCATCTCAGATTTGGACAAGAAGTATCAACATGAGCCCAGAACATTTTACTTTGCCAGGAAAAATGGGGACTTTAAAAAAAAAAATAGGCACCGCCATGAAAGAGTTAAAGGGAAAAGAGTAAGCCCATAATAGTACTGCAAAAAAGAGGGGAGTGAAAAAAACACACAACGAAACCAGGAGATCCCTACTTTGTTACCAGGACTGCAGTAACTGACTGGGCAGAGATCATCTGTGGATTAACACCGACTGCTAGGGAACGGCATTTGTAGGACTCACCCATGGACGACTCACCAATACAAGGGGGGTAGGCCTGGAGATCTGGGGCCACCAATTTGCCCAAGGATCCAACAGAGCATCACCAACAATAGTGCAAAATGCTGTGTGACTTTCTATGTGACACAGCATCGTCTGGGAAAAAGGTTTAACCCGAATCACACCATAAGGAAACAATATGATAATCCAGACTGCTGGAATTTTGAAGGAAACTGTCCAGAACTCTTAAAAATGTCATGAAAAACCAAGAGAGATTATGTAAAGGAGCAAATTTCCAATTAAAAAAAAAAGAAAAAAATGTCATGAAAAATAAAAAGTATGGGCAGGGGGAACTGTTACACATTAAAAGAAATGAAAGATTATAACCAAAGGCAATGCATACATTTTGTCTGGATCTGGAATCACAAACAGTGCTACAAAGGATATTTTGGAGACAATTTGAGAAATCTGAAGTGGATTATACTTTAAATGTTAGACTGAACCAATGGTAAATTTCTTTTAAAAACTGTATGGTCATGTCTGAGAATATCCCTATTCTTGGAGATATTTATAGTGTTAGGTTATTTTAAAATGCTTTTAGAAAGAGACGCTTCTTAGAAAAAGTAGATATAAATATAAAACTATGCATCTTCCCAAATTTCCTACCCCTTTCTGTTATTCACAAAGAAATGTTATGACAGAACCATATTTTCCCCTTCTGTTGTCACATAAAGGAATCTCATTCCAACCCTAAAGTAAAGGGTGTGAACATGAGTCTCAGCACGCAGTGCAGTCGCAGTCAGTCGAGCTTGAGGCCTGGCGATGCTGAACGCTGAACGGCAGTGTGGAGACCACACCTTGGGCTTCCTCACCTTCCCCAGGGCCGTCAGGAGGTGAAAGTCTATGGACTCCCGGTACCGGAGGATTTGAAGGATGCCATCCAAGTAGACTTGGTCTTTACTGAAACACCCTGGAAGAAGCACAAGTGTTTACTTTCTGATGTCTAAAAACTTACTAAGAAATCAGATGCTAATCCAATGCCCCTCACTGTAGGATAAGACCTGTAGTATAAAAATTCTAATGTGGGGCTGGGGGTACAGCACTTGTCTAGCACGCACAGGCCCCTGGGTTCCATCCTCAATACTGCAAGGGAAAAAAATCTAACTTGCCAATGTTTATTTGTAATAAACAAAAAAAGTGAAGACTCTGGAAAACCAGAACAATATACAGACTAGTAGTTTCCGTTCCCCATACTCCTTCTTCTTAACATCTCCCCATAATTATAAAGAAAGGCTGGCAGTTTAAAATGCCTGACTCACGATTATACCACCCCTGCTGCTCAATCTCACCGTAACTCCCAGGCTGCTCGAAGGCACTGGGTGGGGAGCGTGGGGAAGTTTGGGAGCAGTTAAGGTCTCAACAAAGGTCCTGTACAGACAGAAGATTTTAGAAAGTTCTCCTTTTTTGGATTTTTAGGTTTTTGCTGTTATTGTTAAATAATAACAGACCTCTGCCCTCAAAAAAGAGGCTATGGTTTAGGAACAATCTAGGTTATTTTGATACTATTCTTCTGTATGAAAGTAAGAATTAGAACTAACTTTTAAAGAATATATAGGGTTAGGAATAGAAAAAAATATGAATGCATGAAAAATAGGAATAGCTCAAGAGATCTGAGCCTATTCAAAAAAAATGATGAAAACCTTTTTTTCATCCTGATATAACTTCAGCTTTTAAAATTTTTTGGTCTGCATTTACTAAATGGACTAAAGTCGTACCATACAGTCATACATGGAGGAAAGTATCATTAATTTTGTTAGGTAAGCTACCATGATAAGCTACCATGGGGATTATGAAAAATTCTGGTCCAATCAGCAAGAGATATACACTGAAGTATTCATGGTCATGAGGCTAAAACTGTTCTTACAATACTATAGGGAAATAGGAACACAGAAGAACAGATGAACCAGTTGGTAATGGTGATGATTACTAAGATCAGGTAATGTACTAGTGAGGGCTCAGCACATTAATTGTTCTTGTTTTACATACATTTGAAATTTTCCATAACAGAAAGCTAAAAAAATGTGTGTGAAGCAAAAAGACTAGTCTAAAAATCACATGCCTTCAGGGGGTATCAAGGGCAGCAGGCAAGCTCTGTGCACTAAAACTCAGACTAGAGCTAGGCATGGAGGTACACACCTATAATCCCAGCACCCTGGGAAGCTCAGGCAGGAGGACTGCAAGCTCAAGCCCTACCTGGGTGATTTAGTGCCTTAGTGAGAATCTGTCTCAAAAAAGGATGGGGATATAACTCAGTGTGAAGGCTCTGGATTCAGGCCTCAGTACTGAAAAAAAAAAAAAAAAGATAAAGAGATCTACAAAGGAGAAGGAAAATGACAGACACTTTATCAGGAACCCACTTTGGAGGCAGCTGTGCACACATGAAACCAGGGGACAGATGACCTCCCTTCTGATTCCTGTCTTGCCTGATCTCAGCATTCAGACAGCCACCCTGCCATACAACTGCGTTCCTGGTATAATGTCTTAGTTACTTTTCTCGTTGCTGAGACAAAATACCTGACACCCAAAGTTAAAGGAGGAAAAGTTTATTTGGCTTATAGTTCATAGAGGTTCAGTCCACAACTGGCGGGCTCCAAGGCAGAGTGGCACATGGCAGAGGGGCATCGCAGAGGAGAAAATGTTCATGGTGGGCAGGAGACAGCAAAAGCAACCAAGGGATGACCACTGCTCTTTCTATCCCTTGTATCTTATCCAGGATACTTCGGAAGGGTAGCACTCACACCCTCAATCCTAGTGCCCTTGATCCTAGCACTGCACCACGAATCAATGCCAGTGTCACACACTCTAGATCCAGCCACCTCTGAAAAATCCCCACCTATGACCACCCGAGGCTTTGCGGGGACATCTAGACACAAACGGTAACATTCTGCCCTACCTCCCCGCAAAGACACATCCCTGTATGCAAAAGGCACTTAGTCCGTCTCTAAGAGGTGCCAAAGTCCTAACAGTTTCAGCACTGCTGAAAAGTCCAGTTCAAAGTCTCCTCTGAGATTTAAGGCAAACTCTGAGCTGTGCACCCCTGTACAAATGGAAAGTTAAACACTTCCAACAGACAATGGCACAAGATAGACATTTCCATTCCAAAAGGTACAAATAGGACAGCAAGGAAGGGAACAAAGCAAAACCAAAATCCAGCAGGGCAAAAATAAAATCCCACAGTTCCACTTCTAGCATTCCTGGCAATCTGAGGTAAGTTGTAAACTCTAAAGGGTTCTGCCCCTATGGCGCTTCTGGTGGTTGTAGCTCCCGTGGCTTCTCTGGAGCCAGTTCTGCTTCCTCCTTGCAGCTTTCCTCAGATGATCCATGTTCCTGGCTTCTCCAGCCTTCTGGGGTTTCCACTGCACCTTGGGCTTCACACTCACAGCTTCACACACTACCCTCTCAGGACACACTGCCTGGCCTCCCAGGCCTTCTTCTGAAATCTGGGTGGAAGCCTTCCTGACCCTCCAACTCTTGCATTCTGCATGCGCCTAAAACCAGCGCCACATGGGTGATACAAGGTCTGCTGCCAGCTAGAGCAGTAGCCAGGCTTCCTTCTTTCTTGGGTTAGGGGTCCAGGGCCTATGAACCAAATCCCGAGGAAAAACTTCCCTAGGGCACCACCATTCTGCAACATGGTGCTCTGAGACTCTCTTCTCAGAGTAAAGTCTTTCACTTCTGCATTTTGAAGCTGCAAAGCCTGGAGTCCTGCTGCTTCTTGTGATGCCCTCAGGCCATCTTGTCTGTTATCTTCTGAAATACTTGGCTTTTTCTTGTTAGTCTCCTCAGCGACCAATTTCTCCTCTGTTTCATTCTTGCAGGCCAAAACTTTATTGGAGCTTCCTTTCTAGCCAAACTCACAATGTTTTGAATCATTCTGCTGGGCTCTTTGCTCTTGATTCTCAACATAAATTTGGCTAAAAGCCTCCAACAGTATCTATGCTACCACCTCAACATTACACTGCCTTGAAATTTCTTCTCCAAGATTAATTAGCCTGCTGCTCTTAATCTTAGTCTCAGGCAAAGTCTCTGGACATGAGCAAAACGTAGTCAAACTTTCTGCCAAGGCATAATATGCACCGTCTGGAGTCCAACAGCCAATGTAGTCCATTTTCCCAGCAGAAACCTCCCGAGCCTGGTCTTTACCAGCAGGATTTCTATTAGCCTTCCGGTCTTCTGAGCTCTGATTAGAATCTTCCATCAAGTACTGCCTGAGGCGTTCCAGCTCTACTTTTTCAGCCGGCATCTCTGAACCTTTCCAAACTCTTCTCACAAACCAGTCCCAAAGTCTCCTGAACCATATTGGCAGGTATAGTCACAGCAATGACTGCACTTCTCTGGTACCAACTTCTGTCTTACTTCTCTCATTGCTGAGACAAAATATCTGACACTCAAAGTTAAAGGAGGAAAATTTTATTTGGCTTATAGTTCATAGAGGTTCAGTCCACAGTTGGCAGGCTCCAAGGCAGAGTGGCACATTACAAGTAATACCATATAATAACACACGCCCTTGCCTTGCCTCCTTGTATTTTTTCCACAGAATGTTTTATTCCAGAAATGTAAATTTGTGCTGCTGTATTATTGCCCAGTGTATCAAAATGTTTTGTGACTGAACTGTGTGACCTTTCAGGAATGTTCTATTAAGCTCCACCCCCTTATAAGAATGTTAAGCTCCGCCCCCTTACAAGAAAGTTGTTAGGCTCTGCCCCCTTGCAAGAATGTTCTGTAACTCACCCCTCTGCTTCAGTAAGCATGCTCACACAGGATGTGTTTCAGGAATGTTCTGTAACTCTGCACCCCTGCCTCAGTGAGCATGCTCACCTACCCTGTAGATCCCTATACAAGAAGGTTCTCATTTCTGGTATAGGGCTCAGACTTTGAGTATGAACTCCTTTGCGCCTGTCAGCATAATAAAGGTTTTTCTCCACCTCTTCCAGTGACCATCAGATTCTCAAGTCTTCAAATTGCAATAGCCCAGACCTAGAGCTGTAACACTTGGCTACAGCACCAAGCTGTTCTGCTTTGCCACAACAGCATGGCAGAGGGGCATCACAGAAGAGAAACACTTCATTGCAGGTATAAGGTAGCAAAAACAAGCAAAGGAGGATCACAGCTCTTTGTATCCCTTGTATCTTATCCAGGCAACTTAGGTCGGGTAGCACTCACATCCTTAATCCTAGTGCCATTGAGCCTGGCATTGCAGCATGAATTAATCCCAGCATCACACACTCTAGATCCGGCCACCTCTGAAAAAGCCCCACCCAAGACCACAAGAGGCTCTGGGGGGCCGTCTAGACACAAACTATAACTTAAGTTAACATGGGCCACACTGGTGACATAGCCATCATGGCCTGAGTGTTTTTATGCTCTGAATAGGTAGTTTAAAAATACTTTTAGATGGAATTTTTTGATATACTGAATTAATCTCAAAGTCAAAATGACTTTTAAACAAACATTTCCTAATTTTTACTCTTTTTTTCCAAAACATTCTCATACTGGAATTATGGTTTGTATCTAGATGTCCCCCAGTGGATTAGGCCACTGATGAGTATATACCCGAATGTGATACCAAGAGGTGAAGCTGGGTTGGAGGAGGTGGGTCACTGGGGGTGTTGTGGCTTCTATCTAGATGCCCTCCCAAAACCTCATGAGCTATTAGGTGGGGCTTCTGGGAGGTGACCAGACCATGTGATACTGGATTAGTCCACTGATTGGTTTATAGCTGGGTGTGACATTAGGAAATGAAGCCTGGTGGGAAGAACTGGGTAATTGTGGGTGGCCTGGAAGTTATGTACATCCCTCCTCTTCTCTTGAGCTCCACTCTGCTTCCTACATGTCACCTCATGGACTGTTTCTCCTCTGCCGCACCTGTCTGCCATGTTGCCCCACCTTGGAACCAGCCAACTATGGACTGAAACCTCTTCCAACTGGGAGCCATAGTAAACCTTTCCTCCTTAGAGCTGTGGGTGTTGGGTACTGTGTCTCAGTGATGAGCGAAGTAACTAAGGCAATTGCCATAGACTTCTTTTGTGTATCTTGTGAAAAAAAACAAACAAACATAAAAAAATCCTGTGGGCTTCTAACATCTTTAGGCTACTGACAAAAATTTTTAAACTTTCTATTACCTAAACAGGTACATCTACAGAAATTAAAAGTGAAAACCACTCAAAGTGGTTGCTCACAGCTGAGGAGAGGGGAAGAAATGAAGAGTGACTGCTAATGGCATGGTAGGAATATCCTGAAATTAGTGGCGATGTTTGTACAACTCTGTCATATTTTAAAAATCACCGTACTTTACATTTTAAATGGGTGAACCGCATGGCATGTGAATTACATGTCAATGAAGCTGTTTTTTAAAAGCTGGAGAGAAAGTAAAAATGGCAAAAGTTAACAACTGGTGAATCTAGATGAAGGATAGGTATATTTCTATTAGTCTATTAGTTTTCAAAAAGAGCTGCACAAAAACAATGCTGAGAAAGAGTGGTTTGGAAAACAAAGGTTTACTTTGTCACAGACAAATGAGTCCTCAGATTTCATAATTAGACTCTGACCTGCATCCCACGCTAACCAGCCAGTGACTCAGGAGCCCTCGGTCAGGGATGCTCACCTGGCTGGGAGGTGTTGGTCCAGCCCCTCTTGGCTCGTACACAGTAATCCCATCGGGTATTGGGGTCCTTGACAAACTTGCCAATGTCTCTGAAGAGTTCACAGAACGACATGTGGCTGGCCTGGTACACGGTGTAGTAGAGGAGGGCGGCCCTCCATAGGAAAGGGTCCTTCCTGAACAGGACACTGTGGATGCTCGCCAGGCCCTCCTCTGTGGGGTTGTTGGGCTTCAGCTCATGTTTTCTGCGGCCCATCCAACTGTTCCACGGCTGCTGCAGGTTGTTGATACCTCGGAAGTAATGTGTGCCTGCAGAGAGGAGGAGGGACATGGGTGAAGAAAACTGCTCCACACCCCAAGCAGAAGCTGGTCCCCAGCTCAATACCCTGGGAGGTGAGGCCTAGGGGACATCTCTAGGTTACTGGGTCCACTTGGCTGTGCCCTCCAACGAGATAACGGGACTCTAGCCCCTCCCTCTTCCACTCTCTTTGGCTTTTTTGGCCTTGAGTTTATTCCTTTTATAATGTGCTGCCCTGCCACAGGCCCAGAAGCAGCAAGGCTAACTCCTCCTGGACTGAAACCTCCCAAATTGTGAGCCAAAATAAACCTTTTCTTATTTTAAGCTAACTATTCCAGTTATTTGTTATAGTAACAGAAAACTGACACAGAAAAGATTCCATCAACAATTCTACATTGATGTTTGCCTACAAATCAAAACAAAGTAGAAAATGACCTGATCTAAAGCCTTTGAAAAGCTGAAGGAGTATAGTCCCTTCATGGCTCATTAGAGGAGCTCAAACTTTTATAACCATATTGTTAGTGAGGAGAATCAGCCTTGATATTTGAAAAGAATCTTAGAGACACTTATTTCAACCCCCTCAGTTTAAGGTGGGGGAGCTGAAATTCAGAGGAGTCAAATGCCTTTCCAAGCTCAGTACAGCTACAGCTAGATGGTGCCCTAACAAATCCGAATCTGAAATAAGTACATTATCTTTAGTCCCAGTACTGCTTAACAACTGCATGCTTCCTGCTAAACACTGCTAAGAGCACCGCCCTGGGGCTAACTCCTGCCATCCAAGTGGCTGGGGTGGGCTGCCCACCTATCTCATGCCGTAACATCCCCTCCAGCCAGTGCTCACGAGCAGTGGCCACATTGATGGTCAGAGTAGGACACCCGTTGACAACCGTCATCGAGGCTCGGGACAGCAGGTCCTCAGTGAGATGCACCACAATCTAAGGGGCAAGAGGAAAGTACATGTGTATTAAACAAAGTAAAGGCAGGGAAACGATGTCACAGAAAGCAATGAGCCCAGGGATGAACTCTGGCTTTTGTCTATGGCTGCCTTGACTCTCTCAGAAACCAGGGTGGTAGAATGTGCAGCCAGCCACCTTTAACTTTCAAGGACTCAAGAACCTTCACTGGCTTGACAAGAAGGAAGACAGCTGTGCTGAGGAGACTTGGAGAACCTAAAACTGAACCCCTAGGGTCTCTTAAGCAGTCCCTGGCTACAGCAGGCAGAGGAAGGCGCAGGGGAAGAGTCCTGTTGGTGGCCAGTACCAAGTCCCTGAGACTGACCACTAATATGGGACTGCTAACAGGAGAGGCCACTGAGCAACATGTTTCATTAGCAAGATTCAGACAGGAATTCGTATAACCCTAAGGCTATACTTGAATGGCTGTAAGAAAATGAGAAAAGCAGAGAGAAACTGAACACCACAATTCAAGGCAAGGGGAGCTTAAGCACTCGGAGCAGTGCCGGAAGCCCACCTCTCCCAGGCAGCCCTCCTTCGTCATGTACTTCCGCACGTGGCTCCAGATGCGTGGCCTTGACAGCAGGCTGCCACCTGTGGCCTGCTCAAACTTCTCATAGCTTCCATACTTCTGTAGAGTCAGTTCCATGATACGGATGGACTGTAAAAGCAGGAGAGAGGATGACAGCAGAGGGCCTCATATGGCTTTGAGATGAGTAACAAGCCAGCTCTGACTTGTTCCAGTTTTATTGACTAGCAGAGTAAGCAGCAAGTGAGGGAACTAGGTTTTCTCACAGGTGTGTACTCGGTTGCCAAGCGAGGGGCTCCGTGCTGCCCACAGTGCTGCTGTGCAACGGGTGAGGAGCTGGCTTCCCTATGCTCACACAGTGGGCAGGAGGACGCGCCAAGCGGAAGGCCCACGTCTACACTGATCACAGGGCTACAATTTAAAAAAAAAAACTTCAAAAATTTAAGAACATAAAAGAATCAATGAGTCTTCTGTGACAATCTCTAAAATCACTGTTTTCCTGAGCTAATCCTTGGCAGACAACACAGTTTCTAGATTACTGAGAACACTTTTATCTTTCTTTCAGACCAGAGAACTGTCTACTTCTCATGCTTCATAAATTTTCAAGGAATACAAAAGCTAAAATTGTTTTCTCCACACATGCACAGGCAAAATAGAAAACTAAAGGAATCTGGTAACAAACTACAAATCATCAGGAACTGTGGAAAAGCCTCAAGAGTGAAAAACCAAAGAAGGAAGAAAATTACCTGCAAAGGCTCTTTGGAACAGAAACTGGAAAATTCAAATATATCTCATGTGAACGGTGAAAGAACTGGGAAACTCACACACGTTATGTGAGTCTGTAGCTTCTGAACTGCCATCCGACTCGTGAGGAGAAGAAGGTACAAGCTCTAGAACGGGACCTCCTGAGCTTACACCCTGGCTCTTTACCCGCTGGCCAGTCTCTACACTGGCCACTCGGCCTCCTCGCTTGTGAAGGAGGATAACAATAACAATGTCTACTTCGTGGTTTTGTTGAGAACATTTTGTCCACCTTTGTCAAGCACAGCTCTTGGGACATAAAACGAAGCCAGTACCTATTGATTATCACATCAATGGTATACTACCATTCTTTATAGATACTACCACTGTAAATAACAAGCCTGACATAGAAATTATTGAAAAGCTAACAAGTACAAGTCATCATCGTTCAACATATATTCTCAGTGGAAAAATATAATTACTAATAAACTAGGCATGTATCATAAAGTTACCAGAACAAGCAGTGACTTTAACAGATTTTGTGATTTCTGTTTCCAAACTATTACTGAAAGCCTTGCTATGTAGTATGGCCTGAGGGCCAGCAGCGCTGGCACAGTGGGAGCTGGTCCCAGAGGCAGGATTTTGGCCCTGTCCTATCCTCAAGCCATGAGGTCAGAATCTTCTCTTCCACTAGATCCCAGCTGAGTCACACACAGGGAAATGTGAGGAGGACCCCAGAGAATGGTAAATGTGGCACGAGTGCCCTGGAGGCCGATTCATTCATACGACAGCTAGGGAAATGACAAGCAATAATTAAAAGCCCATTTTAGCAGCGTGGTAAAGGTATGTCTCACACACACACACAGGCGCACGCGCGGGACTACAGGGCACCGGTCAGCAGTCACCCAGCTATCAAACTGAAAAGAATGTGGGCAATTTAGCCTTAATTGCCACTGAAGAAGGTGGAGGGACAGCTTCAGTACTGGACTGACAGACCTGAAAAAGGCTATGTTTTTCACTCTAATTTCTGCTTCCAAGTTTTTCTATACAAAATAATTCCAGGGAAAATGAGCTTTTCTCAGCATATGCTTACTCAGTAGGAAAATGTAGTTATCTGTTTACTATTTAATGTGGCAAATATTAAACAGTCTAGAGAATTAAGAAAAATTATAGGTGTTGTTATCATGGATGAATAAGTAAGGAAAGGATAAAAGGAATGGAGATTTCTGCAGTGAGGGAATGTGATTTTCCTATCAAAATGCTCTGCACCTGCATGTCACTTCCCTCGCTTCCTCATGAGCGCCACAGTGACATCGTGAAGGTGACATCCCGTGGGATATGAGAGCCACAAAGTGTACTGCACTTCTCCATGTTAAATACTGAGCACCACATCACCGTCTATATTCTTCCTCTTTGAGGTGCTTTCCCTGTCATCACCTTTACTGATTGTTTTCTTCTTCTTTACTATGATCCCAATTTTGGATAAAGTAACTTTAAAAGGTACTCTTAAAATCAGGAAGGATATCCCAAGGCTGATGTTCACATTTGGGGAGGGCGTAACGAGTTGCACCAATGTGTGTTATTTGCATTTTTCACACATTTTAAAATTCTTTATAATACGCATATATTTGTGCCATGATCAGAAGGAAACAGTTATTTTTAAAAGGGTGACGGCTCAGACAACCAATGTCTGCACTACTTAAGAGAATCAAGCTTTTTCACACCTGCACATCAACGACACTTTTAGAGGTAATAAATTTCAGGTCAAACTTTACGCCATTATATCATCATCTATGTTAATCAGAAAAGTACACTTCATAGTATAGTATATGGCCCTAGAGAATATGCAGTAGAGAAAAAAAGATGGATAAAGGCTTTAATAAATTTCTAGCATACCAGCAAAGAGGACCGTTCACTCATCCAGCCCCTCATTCATTCATCTTCATGGTCACCCTCTACCAATCACTGTTAACTTTTCTATATTTTAGAAATGAAGTCCTGGGCCAGGGATTTAGCTCAGTGGCACTGCACCTGCCTTGCAAGCACAAGGTCCTAAGTTTGATCCCCAGTACCAAAAAAAAAAAAAAAAGAAAAAGAAATGAAGTCCTTGTCCTACCATTAGATTGGCAGATGACATAATCAGACATAATACAGTAATATCTTGATGGAGCTATAAATAAACTACAGAAGTGGACATTATCGGAGATAGAGGACATTCCAAGCAATGGAAGCCAACGAGAGTGGAGCTACAGAACTCTTCGAGAAGGCATAGGTAGCCATAGGTAGCATTCTCATGACCTTGGGATAGGCCCTGGGCTCATTCACATCCAACACAAACAACAGAAGATAAGATGGACTTTACCAAGATTAGAGCCTTTTGTACTTCAAAGGATACCACCAAGAAACTGAGGACAGCTCTCAGGGGTGGGATCCAGAATGTGCAGAAGGCTTGGCACCACCTCATGGGGGTTTGGGAGGTGATGGGTCACAGGGTCTCTAAGGTCATCCAGCAGATCCATCCACTTGTCAGTTCATTAGCTGCAGGGGCTGCTGGGAGGGGACCTGGTTGGAGGATGGAAGTCAGCGGGGGTGTCCTCTGAAGGATCTATCTTGTCCCTCCAACTCTGTGGGGCTCTCTCACCCTCCCTCCTCCAGCACGATATTGTCTCACCGCAGGCCTGAGACTGCAATGGAGCCAGCTGACTGTGGACAGAAACCTGTGAGACCAGGTGCCTCCCTTATGTTGTTTATCTTGGGTGATTTGTCACAGCAAGGGAAGCTGACTAATACATAGCCCACTAATACACTAATACACAGAATAGAAGAAAGCATTTGCAAACCTCATGTCTGATATGGGAATTGTACCTAGAATGGATGAAGAAATCTTGGAACTCCATAAGAAAAACACAAAGAACTCAATTAAAAAATGGGCAAAGTCTCTGAATAGACAGTTCTCCAAAGAAGATGTATAAATGGCCAATGAGCACATGAAAAAAGAGGCTCTGCATCGTTAGCCACCAGGGAGATGCACAAAACCCAATGAGATCCCCCCTCTCCTCCACCAGGATGATGAGAAAAACAAAAGCAGAGTTGATGAGGATTTGGAGAACCCAGAGTTGAGATACACTGCTGGAGGGAAATAAAGTGGTACAGTCACTTAGGAAAACAGTCTAGGAGTTCCTCAGGAGGTTAAAACAAGGAGTTGCCATGTGGGGCAGCAAATCCACCACTAGATGTGGACCCAAGGTAACAGCAAACAAAGTTCACACAAAACCTGTACATGGGCCAGGGATTTAGCTCAGTGGTTCCACCGCCTGCCTCTCAGGTGCAAGGTCCTGTGTTTGATCTCCGGTACCCCCCCCCCAAAACCTATACATAAACATTCACAGAATGATTTATTATAGCCCCAAAGTGGAAATAACCCAACTGTCTATCAGCCAAGGAATAAAGAGAATGTATTAAATCCATACGTGGAATATTATTCAGCAATAAAAAGTACTGATATGCGTACAACCTGGATGAATCTTTGAAAACATCATGGTAAATGGAAGACACCGTTCACAAGGACCACTAAGTCTACATATTATACGATCGCATACATAACAAGTACCCAGACTAGGCCAATCCACAGAAAGCAGTCTGTGCTTGCCTATGGCAGGGAAGTTGGTGAAAATGGGGTGATGCTAAAGGTACGGGACTTATTCTGGGGGTCATGAAATTTTGGAATTGGCAGTGATGGTTGCATAACTAACTATATTAAAAACCATTGAACTCTACACTTCAGTGTGTTTGAGGCATTTTGTTTTGTTTTTGGTTTTTTTGGTACCGGGGATTGAAGGGGATTGAACTCGGGTCTTTGGGCTTGCACAGCAGGCGGCCAAACCACTGAGCTAAATCCCTGGCCCCTGAATTCTACACTTTAAATGGGTAAACTATATGGCATGTGAGTAACACCTTAGTAGAGCAGGGTGTGGTGGTACAGCCTGTAATCCTAGGACTGAGGAAGATGAGGCAGGAGGATCACTATGAGTTTGAGACCAGCACTGGCTACATAATGAGTTCAAGGCCAACCTGAACTACATAGAAACACTGACTCAAACAAAACAAAACAGAACAGAACAAAACAAAACCTACTGCAAAAAAAGGAAGAGTAATCAAATAACATACATTTAAACCATTAACCCATAAAATAAAAAATTTCTTTACATTGGGCCGGGGATTTAGCTCAGTGGTTCCGCTGCCTGCCTTGCAAGTACAAGGTCCCGTGTTCGATCCCTGGTACCAAAAAAAAAAAAAATTTTCTTTACATAGAACTTTCAGCATTCTCTTGGATGACAGAACAAACTATCTGAAAAGTCTCAATATTTTGCTAAATCTGCTTTTGGTTTACTTGCTGATTTCATTTAGTGTTTAGAAATCTGGAAATCTGACCATCAGTCACAAGCCACTTTAACAGTCATGTGCTAAAAATGATCTCCCTTCTCAAATGCAATTTTCTCTCATTGAAAAATAGCATTTCTTAATGGGGCCACTGACAAAGGGTAGTGCTGCAGAAGATGAGACACCAGAGGACCTGGTTTTACATCAGGGTGCCACCAGGTGCTGACGGTGCCATGGTGAGGATGCTGGTTTAATTTTCTCAGGTGTAGCATATTTCCTGGTAAAATGGAGATGAACATCCAGGCCCTGCCTACCTCTCAGCACTGTGGTGAGGATGAGACGGGCCGGGAAGGGGCACTGAGAATGTGCTCTACAATGTATTTCCTATAGGACTGAACAGCACTTATATCTGGCAGAATAATGCTAGGTTTTAATTTGCGTGTGTGTGTGTGTGTGTGTGTGTGTGTGTGTGTGTGGTCAGCTTTAAACTTTCGGTCCTCCTGGCTCAGACTTTCAAGTAGCTAGGATTATAGGCGTGTACCACCGCTCTCTGCTTAATTTTAGAATTTAAAGTAACTGGTTTGTCTTCTAACTTTCTATTAAAGGTTAGTTTTTTCTACCTTGCTAATTAACAGACAATCTCAATACTCGTTCCTTTTCTTTTCAGCAAATTCTAAAGTCTGAACCACCCCCAGAAGATGAGATAGTCCTTTTCTTTAAGCCAGTGCTTTACAAACTATTCCTTGAGGGAAAGTGAATACATGGTGTATTTTTCATAGTTTCCATGACAACTAAATTTGGAAAATCTTGGATTAAATAGTCGAAAGACTCCTGCCATCCTTTCTGATGATGCTGAGTGGTGAATCTTGGAGATGAACAGAATACGCCAAGTTTTCACAGCCCACGGCCCCCTTTCCTTAGTGTTCTTGAGAACAGCTGGAGACTGGTTACTACAGATAGCAATGGGGACCCCCATTCTGGTACTGTGAGATTCTTGGGACATAGAGTAAAATTCCAAATACTAATGAGGTTTCCAATGGTGGCTTCTGCTCCTTGGTAGCACATCAGGCTTATAAAGATTTGTGGTAATATCAGATCACAGCCTCCATGTAAAGTACTGCAGCCACCTACCTATAGCACACTGTCACAGTGGCACACACGCTGCATCTTCAGGTGTGAGCAGTAACCACAGTGTAAAGCTACCAGCTCTAAGGTACCTGGGAGGGCATCAGAGCACCATCTTTCTATTTCAGTGTTTAAAAAACACCACACCAGCTCGACAAAAGATACATGCTGGCTGAACTTGACCCTGGACCACAAATTTAGAAATCTGACCATCAATCATGGATCTGTGGTTTATCAAGTACTTTAATAAATTTCTAGCATAGCAGCCAAAAGGACCATTCATTTACCTAGCTCCTCACTGGTTCCCTTTCATGGTCACCTTCTACCAATCACTGTTAGTCTTCTATATTTTAGAAACGAAGTTCCTGTCCTGCTATTAGATTGGCAGGTGACATCTAGACATATTGTAGTAATACTTCAATGGAGCTATAAACCATTGTAAGATCATCTAAAAAAGTTTACTAGAAGATGGGAATTAGAGGAGACAGGGGACATTCCAGGCAAATGGGAGTAACACTGTCAGAAGGACACAGAAACCAAAGAAAGGGAAATACAGCTTGGGAAAGTCATGCAGAGCCAGCAACTGTGCCAGAGATTGTGGAGTAGCTGAAATAAATAAAACGCACTGATACACAGGAGGCCAATCTAGTGATGAAGAAACAAGAAGCTTAAAAACAGTCACAGGATAAATGTAACAACAAGGTACCATGGGAGCACAGAGTTGCCTTTGCGAGAGGCCTTGAAGGCCAAGCTGAGGATTTTGGACTTCAGCAGGAATGATGAGGACCCCTGCAGTTCCTCAGGAAGAGAAGCGACAGGATCAGATGTCACCTTAGAAAGACGCTGACAGCAGAATGGACAGCAAAGAAGAGACTGGGGGCAGCACAGATATTTTTGCCAGGAATCCAGTTTTCTTTAACAGGAACTACAAACTAGGATCAGGCTGCAATAAGAAGAGACAAACTAACATATTTCAAAAAGTCATATTCTAGATAGGGAGAATCCAGGAAATAAAGGATCCAGACGTTGAGTGTGCCGGTCAACGAATGACAAGGCCCCCTTCTGTGCAGTCCATTCCTTTGGGCCCTGGTCTCCCCTCTGCACTCTGCTCAGACAGGGGCAGGGCACGGCCAGCGTTGTGGATGCAGGACAGGAAGGAAACAACAGCAGAGATGTTTACAGGCAGCTGAGCACTGCAGACTGTTTTTTCATTGTTGACCATGGAACCAAGAAAGACTTTGCTAAGATAACCAGAGAATGTGCAGGTCAGGGGGCCGGTGAGCTTTCCAAGTCAAATCAACAAAGCCTCCCAATGAGGCATCAAGGTCATTCCTCCCTCCAACGACAGACAATCTGATGGGTGTGCTTCCATCTGATCTGGAAGAAAACCTCTCAAGATATTAGGTGAAGAAATGGCCCCGCTTCTCCAACCTAGTACACAAAGCAACGATGAAACATACTAAAATCCTTTTAACTTCAGGGTGTCTATGAAAAGTTTATGATTTGCCAAAAGAGAAAATCATGTGATCTAAGGAGAGGTGTGATATATTTATTTAAAGAAGCCTTGCTTTTTCTTCCCCTTCATTGTTTTGGCAATGTGAGTCTACAAAGATAAAATACTATTTCTATTCTAGGATTATACAATTATAACAGCCTTAGAGAAGTTTTAGATTAAGACACTCTACTAGTGAAGGTATTTTATTGCCAATTAAATATTTTTCTATCAAAAAAAAAGAAGGAAGCCAAGCATGGTGGCACACACCTGTAATCCCAGTACTCAACAGGCTAAGGCAGGAGGATCTCTGCGAGTTCAAGGCCAATATGGGCTGTGCAATGAGTTCAAGGCCAGCCTCAACTATACAGTGAGACCCTGTCTCAAAAACCAAAGACCAAACAAACAATAAATGAACTTAACAGATGTTTACCGAGTCTTCCACCCCACAAAATCAGAATACACATTCTTTTCAGCAGCACAAGGGTCATTCCCCCAAATAGACCACATACTCACACATAGAACATGTTTAAGTAAGTGCAAAGGAAGTGAAGTTATCCCCTGTATATTATCAGACCATAGTGCGATGAAATTGGAGATCCATAGCAAAAGAAACTCAAAAAAT